TTTCTCAGTGGTCCACGGATCCCTGTGGAGTTCACAGAGATGCAGGGGCATGTTGTCAGGCTGCAGTGGGAGGGCACAGGAGGGTCCCCCAAACAAGCGACTTGTGCAGGGGATGCACTTCTCAATGCCAAGTTCACGCTGCTCTTTCTTGGACAAAAGCGCTTTGTGTGCAGTGTGCGGGTGTTGGCATCGCTCAAGGGGGAAGGTCCTGCCGGAGGCTCTGTCCTTCTCAGCTGTCTTTCAGGATCCTTGAATCCCTGTCCCATGTCAGGCTTGGCCATGGCCTCGCTCTTGCAGTGAGTGGGGTTTGAGCCAAACACCCTGGAATCATTCCTCCTCCCCTCCTGTCCTGCCTCAATTTTCCCCCAGAAGCTGGTTGGGATGATTTCTGGGTACTGTTTACCACATTGACCCTGACCAGATTGGAGAAGCTGAGCCCAGTTCCAGCTTGGAGTTGTGCTGAGGACCAAGTTACAAACCCCAGAAGGCTGGGGTTGGGAGTGAAATGCAGACGCTCTGTCTCTGGAGCTTGCAGGCAGCCTGCCCCGGGGGCGAGATGGGGCAGCGACTCCCCGGGCAGCATAGTCAGAGCCGCCTGTGTGGGGCAACAGTTTTGGGGTCCGCAGCCTGTGGGAAGCTGCGTTACATCCCACGGTGGAGCGCGAGCATCGCTCCCGTCCCTGCGTGCTGCCCTTCGGCACAGACCTCACCTTTTGCTTTCTCTGCCTGCAGGTGGCTGGAGATGCTGATAGTCTATCCGAGGACAAACAAGCAGAATCAGAAGAAGAAGAGGAAGGTAGAGCCCCCAACTCCTCAGGTAACCCCAGGGGGACAGACACTGTTGCCCGGTCCCTTTTCTCCCTCTCAGGGCCATGGCTTTGCTCTGCTCCCGGGGCAGAACCCCCCCAAACCAGCCGGACCAGCGGGCTGCCAGCCCTCTGATGCTGCCTGCGCAGAGCGCGAGAGCCGGGGCGAGCCAGGGCAGCAGGACAGTGGGAATTAATTCCTGGTAGTCATTTCCCAGGTTCACACGCTGCTGCTGCTGCTTTCCTGGCTGCTTCGGGGCCACGTTTTGCCCCCCGGGCGCTGTCTTGTGGCACCAGCCCTGCACACGCTGTCCCGGGAGCGGCTGCAATGCTGCATGGTCCCGTGTGGGACCGGGGAGAGGTGCTGGCTGTTCATGGGCTGTTTCAGCAGAAACAGGATGAAATTCCATCGGGCTCCGGTTACCCGCTTTGAGATGACCCCAGAGATAATGGGAATGAAAGGAAAATACTAAAGGCCAGGGCCAGGCTGGGAGCTCCGGGGGCCGGAGCCGGGCTCTCCAGGGACCTGGTGGTGGCTTCGTGCTCACTTTGACTATAAATGGTAAAAAGCGGGGCCGTCCGTGACTCACTCGTTCCTGCGGGGCTCCCACGTGGCCGGAGTGGGGGAGAATCCCACAGATGGAGAACGTGACCCCGAGGCCACCCTCGTCCCTCGCCGGGGCTGAGAACAGCCACGTCCCTGAGACTGCCTGACCTCCGGGCGCGCATCCCACCGTCGCAGGGGACCGGCTGGGAGGGCTCCTCCGGCCGAGCCGGGCTGTGGCACTGGGGGACTGAAAACAGCGTCGGGGCTCCCCTGAGCCCCAGTTTTCAGGTCCCCTTCATTGAAGTCTCCAGGATGGTCCTGGTGCAAACTGGACCATGGGTGGGTTTTGTACGGCGTTTGTTTGAATCAAGTTTCCACCACTTCACTGGATAAAGAGGTTCTGGGCAGTGGGAAAAAAACTGGGGGGAAGATGATCCTTTTTTGCACACCAAGCTGGAAGTCTGAGACACCCCTTGCCAAGGGCTGGGGTCGTCATAGTCCCTTGAGTCCTGGCTCTGGAAGATGCTCCTCCCTCCATGGCCAAGAGCTAACGTGTTAGGAGTTGCCTGTCCTCAAGCCCCAGGGAGGCGGCTGCCGCATTCGGGGCACCCCAGTGAGCTGATGCAGCAGGGCAGGGATGCTCACCCCATCCCTGGTGCAACACTAAACCCAGGCTGGGTTCCGGAGGGGGACGGGGCGGAGAGGAGAAGGGGCGCGGAGCCAGGAAAACATCATTCTGGGTTACATTTCATCTCCATGGCAACTTCTTGGAAATCGTACAGGATCCAAGCTCCTGAGCACCAAATAAGGGAAGCGGCTGCGGGAAGGATGTTGGCTCCCCACGGGTGGACGGGCTCCCCAGGTGCTTGGGGATGGGGTGAGCATGGAGCCTGGTGGCATTTTTCCCCGCCTTGGCTTGGGGCGGACCATCCCACTCCCTCCCGCGTGAGCTAAAGCTCTCGCTCCCAGCCCCGTGGCACCAGAAAAAGCCTCAAATTCACTTTTGCAAAACCAGGCTCCATGTGGGACCTGCTGCCGGACAGATGCTGTGCTGTGTCGGGCACTCACGAGCAACCTGCAAAGGCAGAAGCAGCATCTTTCCTCTGTCTCCCAAATCATGCCGATGCAGGCGGCTGGTCTGGAGAAGGAGAGAGGATGCTGGGGAGAAAATCAGCACCAAATCCCCCTCTGTGAAATGGCTTCTCCTGAAGTTAGCTGCTGTTCAGCTCACTCTCCCATGTGCTGGAGGAGAAAGCCTGATTTCTTTCTAAAGACGGCTGCCCGCTAATCTGGCAGGGGATCATGTCTGAGAGCCGCTCAGGGAGGGACGAACACCTTTGTGATTTAAAAAAAAAAATTAAAACAATGGGTATTTCTGCTTTTTCTCACTCCCACGTAGTTTTTCCTTGTCTGTGCTACAGCAGAGCTTGGCTGCAGCCAGGAGCTCCTGGGGTATCAGGGCCATTTTCAGCTCCCCCCATCATTTTGTGTCTTCCCCCTGCAAGATCACCGGGGTGGGAGCAACGCAGGCGAAACTGGGAATATTGCTTCAGCTGCAGATTTTTGGACAGGAGTTGTTAGCTGCAATCCTAGAGGTGTTTTCACCTTTGCTTTGCAAGCAGGTTGTGGTCTTAGGGGAAAAAGGGCAGGTTTCTCTTGCAGCTTTTGCCGTGCTCCGGCAGAGCGGTGCAGGCAGTGGGAGAGACTGGGCTTGCTGCCTTTGCCTGCCTGCTCTCCCTGGGAAATCAAGACAGGATTTGGGGCTGAAATCTGGGATTTGAGGCACTGCCCTCTGTTGCAGGATGGGTTTGCGGAGGAGTGCGGCAGGCTCGGGTAAGCAGAGCATGCCCGGGCATACTTAATGCAACTGAAGGCTGGTTTTGCCGATTTTGGTGCACGCTCCTTTTTGGAGCTATTCATACCGCTGAGCGGCAAAGAGTTAATTTCTCTGCTTGCGTATAGACCGCTTTTTGGCCTTCATATCTCTGTCTAGTTAAATACATATCTACAAATAATTATATGGGGGTGTGTGTGAGGAATATATATAAAAATATATATCCTGAGCTGGTGATTAGCTTTGGGCTTTTGGATCAATGAATAAGAGAGTGGTTGAGGATGGAAGGGCCCTTGGAGATCGTCTGGTCTCACCCCCTGCTCAAGCAGCATCCCCTTGAGCAGGATGCCCGTGAACTCTGGATTGTTTACCTCCAACACTGCATTCCTTTAGCGTCAAATTTCCGAGGGGATTTTTTTAAAAATTGAGGTCATTTGCTGCTTGTTGTGGCTGTGCACTGAGCCAGGACCCGCTCCCTGGGAGATCCCCCCGCGGCTCTGGCACAGCCCTGCCAATGCCGATTTGGGGGTGCAGGGCTAAAACCCACCAGTGGCTCTGCTGACGTGGGAGGGGGACGGAGGGGATGCTCTTCGCAGCCCGTGTCCCCAGCCTGTGGCTGCTGGCCCGGGCGCTCCTGGATTTCCCCTGCCCCATGGAAAGGGAACAAGCAGCCGGGAAACTTCCCACAATCCGGAGACTTTGGAGGGCGGTTAATTGTCATTGATTTATTGGTGGCTTTAAGGAAAATAATCTGCTAATGCAGAAGCTTAATACGACAACAGCAAAACATCTGCTAGCGAACAAAGCCAAACCTTAAATGAGTTGTGAAAGCTGCTGCCTCTTTCGGGGCGTGCGCCAAACCTGGGCTGCCCGGGCTGCGGCCACCGAAATGGCATCGTCTTCTGATGGGCTCCAGAGCCCCTCATTAGCTAGCGAAGCATTTAAGACGATGGGTATTGTTTTAAAATAGCATAAAGCTCAATGCAATGTATTTCCTTTTTAAAAGAAGCAGCCTGTTAGGTAACCAAAGCACATGGTAGGAGTACACTATCCATTGGGTTTTATTCTTTTTATCAGTGGCCTGTAGCAAACCAGCTGTGACAGACAAACAACGCAGCTGCTGGTGGCAGGGAATTAATCTTCTCTTCCATCCCATGTCCTTTAGCTTGATTTTTTTTTTTTTTTTTTTTGACATTAGTTATAACACTGAGAAAATTCAGTCCTGGCAAATGGGACCCAGGAGAGAAGCCTGGTGTCGGTTTGTATTTGTGAAAGGCAGCGGCTGCCCGTGAGCCAGCCCGCAGAGGGACCAGGGATGTGCAGAAGGATTGGGGACATGGAGAAGGACTGGGGACATGCGGAGGGGAATGGGGGATGCTGTGTTTATTTGCATCAATTACAGAGGATGAGCTGTCACCCCAAACTGCGTTTTGGCGGAGGTGAGGGGGCATTTCCAGGTTCCCTGTGAGTCAGGACCCGACAGACCCATTTCTCTGCGGGGTCTGCAGCGTTGCACGTGAATTCGGGTGCATAGCCCCAGGCGTGCATGCGGCTTTTGGGCAGAGCTGCTGTGCTGGAGCGTAAGCGGAGCCACACGGGACCCTGAACACCAGGGAAGGGCCGGGGCTTTGCTCCGCGCGGGGCTGGGCTGTGT